GGGGTGGGAACCCTTGTTTTGAATTCAAGTGAGGCATGGGAGGAGGGGCAAGCTGAAGCTGACTTTGGCCTCACCCAGGCTCAGTCAGAGCTGCAGCCACTCCTCCGCCCCTACCTGCCCCTCATAGAACTCTGCCCCAGTTTCCCCCTCCCACCAACTCCAACTAGGGGCACAAACACATGGTTACTTTGGCTGCACATGGTGCATGCAGCAGCAGTGGCAGCAGCTATGGCTCGGAGCTGGCATCACCACAACTGCTGCTGCATAGCCAGGCAGGGCCACAGCGACCGTGTGCTCCATGTCCCAGGACACTGGATAAGCAGAAGCTGGGGGAAAGACAGACAGCATAGAGGTTCAGGTGCTGGGGAGAGGGGAAGGAAGTAGACAGAGGCAGTAGGGAGAAAGAAGTAAGGAGTCAGGTTACTTGACCCCCCCACCACCGCTGCCTGGCTCTCTACCACCTACCCCAACCCCCCACAGTAGGTCTGCGGGACAAATTTAAGAAAACCCTCCAATAATTAGATTCAATGCATGAAAAATTATAACAAATTTATATTTTCCATTTCTGGAATCTAATTATTGGGAGGTCATCCTTCAATTCAAAGTCATCTTCAGTTCAGGTACATACAGTAAATTCAATTATATGATCAATCCAAGGCCACACTGTTGAAGTTATTCCATTCCTCATCCCCCTAACTCCTTCAGGCTGCCTACCAACTTCTCTGTTCCTGTGCCACACGACTCCCAACCTTTATGTCTGTTCCCAAATCTGAGCCTATTTTTGTTGATCAAACCTATTCTTTTTTCTTTGTGACAGTAGGTGTTGAGATGAGGGATACTTGCAAAGGAAGTTATATTAGAAGTCTAATTCCTCTCATTTCTCCTTGGAACTCACATGAAGAACAAAGCAGATTTTTATATACACATTAACTGTTGCAGCAGACCCTCATTCATTGGGTGGAATCCACCCTTTAGGAATTTTCTGTTAGGAAACTGCCTCCCACTAGTTATATTTCAATGTTCTTCAAACAATAGGGATACGCAGCTAAGACTGGATACAAACAGTATGCCAGAAAACACAATTTAACAGAAGGATTCAAAAGTAGAAGACAATCAAATAGATGTTCTTCAAGCAGGTCTGACAAATGAAACTTTTCAGCCCTCTGAATAAGTTATGTAAACAGACTTCCGACTTACTTTATTCTTAAGGTACTTGGAAGGACTTTTCATGTCAGCATTCAGGTGAGAGATATGAATAAACTTTTCTACACCAGCTTCCCTGCTTATCCGGGCAATATCTCTAGGAATATTTACAAATGTGTCTTCAAAACTGAAGCTTCTAAAATTTAAAAAAAGAGTGACATTACTTTAAGATACTCAACGCCAGCCAAATGTGTTATATGGCTCACTGCTGAGCATTTCCTGACCACATTGCAGAAGCCTGTTACAATACTATTTGTCAAAAAGCATCTTTAACCAAGCAACTGTCAGTAGATTAAAAACACAAAATGCAGCTCAAATGTGGCAGAACAGTACAGTAAAGGCAAACATACTGTGTATTCTTACTTTCACTATAGTTAGACTAATGCACAGCTTGAAAAATCCATTTAAACATAACAGACTACAACAATCCTGAAACTTCCTCCAAGGGAGCATTATCCATTTCAGCAGAAGATAAACTTCCCTTTAAAAACATGTTTCTAGCCCTTTTGGAAAGCTACCTTTCAATTAAGCGTGGAAATCTTTTGAAAGCGATCTAACTCCAGTGCCACCACTGCTGCCCCGTTTTCTGCAAACTGTAGGATTGAAGGTGTAGTAAAAACTGACGTCTATTTAAAATCTGTGGACAGCACCCAACCTGGCAAGAACAGAGTCAGATTCATTAAGCTGCTACTCAGGAAAATCTGAGCAGCTTCAGAGACAGGCTTGACACTATTCACTGAGAAGCAGGACAAACTGAGGTTTCAAATTTATCAAATGCCTATTTACTGAGCAAGATAGCAGCACCTTCGCCAAGTCTTGCAAGCCAGGCTGATGCACTATAATCTAGCAGGGGTATAGGTTGTAACCATGTTGGTCTAAGGACACAGGCAGACAAAGTTCTTTGTGTAAGTCTGATATCTTTTATTAGACCAACTAAAATAGTTGGAAAAAATTCTTCTTTGCAAGCTTTCGGGTACAAACACCTATTGTTAGGCTGAGGAAGCGTCTGCAGTTGGTTTGCGCAGGAACTCCAGCAACCTCCCAGTTATACAAAAGCTGAAAAAGGAAAGATTTGACTTCTCATTCCATGAGGCTATTGGTGGAAGCACTCGGGCCTTCCATTTACATCCGTCTCTGGATACCAGACACCTTGGTCAAATGCCTCTCTCTTCCTATTTGCCAGAACTCTACAGATCATTGAAAAACAATGCCATCAAAAAGTTACTTTCAAACAAGCTAAACGTAATCTGGTGTTGGACAATTCTAGGAAGTTATACTTGCCCAACTCATTAAAAAAAACAAAACAAGGATGAACGTTATGTCTTTGGGAACTAATAAGCATCCAAAGAACAGGGTAAGACTGGATACAAACAGTATGCCAGAAAACATAATTTAACAGAAAGATTCAGAAGGCAGAGTCAAATAGATTTTAAGGCCATTATGATAGTCAGTCTGACCTCACGTACAGCCCAAGCCACAGAACATCACCAGGCAGACTCCTGCATCAATCCCAATTTTTCAGCTAAAAGCATGTGAGCTACTTATTAATTGTATTATTGTAACAGTCAGGGCCAGGACCCCACTGGGTAAGGCACTGTAGAAACAGACCAAAAAAAGGACTGTTAAATTTTTGTTAATATTTAGTATGGGTAAAAAGTGGTATTTCAATAACCAGAGAATCTTCTCCTAGATAAACCATACAGCAGAGAAAGAGCTGTTTAAATAAGCACATGATCTAAAACAAATGGAGATTCTGTGGGTAGGTCAGAGGCTGCCTAAAAATGTTATCCACTGCCACAGTTTAATCAATTTTTGCATTTCCTGAGATGAACAACAGGAGTTCAAAGGTATTCTTCCAATTCTAACAATAGTGGGCATGAATCTCTCAACAGTTTAAATATAGATAATCATTCATAAACCAAGGGTCTAAAGCAGTGAGTCTCAACCAGGATGCCGCCAGATCCTTCCAAGGTTCTTGTGAGGTGCCACGCAAGGTTAGCACCGTTAGGCATACAAACATGATTCAGAAGATAAATCTAGAGATTTCAAAGAGGAATTTATTACATTATAAACATTCTGAGCCATCATGGTCTTTCTGAGATCTTTGCAACAAATAAATTGCTCTATTTTTTTTTACTCTGACTACAGAAAACTAAGACCTGGAATTTTCTGAAGGATGCCTTCAGTCCAAAATGGTTGAGAACCAATGATTTAAAAAATAAGATATTAAATAATATGGACCCTATTAAACGCCTGGAACAATAGACAAATGGTCTTTGAAGCAAGTAGACAGTAGACTTAAACAGCATAAAGAGGCTAAAATGATTTTTTTTGCAGAAAAAAAGGGGGAAAAAAAGAGAGAGTGAGACAGTGCCTTTATAAACTAAACATGAAAGTCAACTTAGTGCATTAGGCATGTCCCTCAAAAGCTACACAGCAGGCTTGTCTAGAGCAGAAGCAGGCAAAGTCCAGTCCACAGGGTGAATAGGGCTCATGGTGGACTCCAAAGCCCCTGCCCGTGTCATTCCAGCCAGTGTTCATGGAAACCCCAGGAACAGCGGGGCTGTGACAGTGCAGGACCAGGTTCTCCATGGACACTGGCCTGAGAGGTGCTGGCAGGGAGAGCGGCTGGATGGGGAGCTGCTCTGGTGCCAGGATCTTGTGGCTGTGACAGCATGGGCCAGAGGCGAGGCATAGCCATGATCTGCTGCCTGCATGCCCCTGGGACAGCATAATCACAGCTCTGCTCTGGCTCTGGTCTGTGTTATCACTACCACAACACAGCACACACAGCCATGCACACTGCCAGTGTGAAGAGCCAGTCTCCACAAAGACCCTGGCCCCACAGTGTAATGGCCCTACTGCTCCTGGGGTCTCCATGAAGACCAGTCAGAATGACGTGGGCAGGGCCTGCTGGGAAATGCAGTCCAGCCACTGTCCAGATCTGCCATTTTGTCCACCACTGACCTAGAGTCAAAAGTAACTAGAAGTAGATAATTGCCAGTCTGGAAGGCCATGTCAGCTTCAGAACCGTACTCAATACCAACAAGGAGGGGAAAAAAAAGAGTAATATGAATTCAAGTCACACAACTAATATAAAGTCTAGTGGGGGGAGGGGGGGTTGTGTAGACAGTACTTAAAAAGCAATGTTAAGCAAGTGCTCAGATTTACATAGAAAGAGATAGAGCCTACTAAAAGTATACTTTCAATTTGAAACAAACATTAGGTTTCAAGGGGTTAAAACTTTGTTCTAAAAATTGCACAAATATTAATAAATTAGTGGTATTAAAAATAATGAGGGCATCTCCTTATGAAACTAAGAGCATCCATTACATTTATTTCAATCAGATGGAATTATTTCAGCCACAGCTGGAGGAACTCTCTGCTAGCTAATTACCTTTATTACTGTGTACAAAAGAATAGGAAAAACCTGATCAAAACTTATGCTAGGTCAAAATTTAACCCTGTATCACAGTAGCATTTTTAATCTGAATACCTAGCTCTCGCATCTGCTGCAAGTCCTATGAATACTCTTGAACTACAAATGTTAATCCAGGCTTACTGTCTTAATTGCCACAAGTGCCAACATATATTAGGATTTTGAGAGAAAGGGTATCAAGCTCATCCAGCCCCATGGGCCAGGTAAGTGGCATGGGACTGATTTGTGGGCCTGTAACAGGACGGGACCCCATGGGGGCTGTGATGCCTCCTAGTGGCCGTACAATTCCTACCCAGCTCAGTCTGTAAGATACCAGCCCTTTACTTTTCACCTGCTATGCCTTGTTCTTATTAAGAGATTGAAGAGGGAAGCTTCCCATGGGTGTTCACTGCACCAGGCCTGGCTTCTTGGGCTGCAGCCCTTCTCCCCCCGCTTCCTGGAATCTTATCTCTGTCCCTCCTAGGCTCCTGGGTCTCCTGGCCCTATTTGCCTTTCACAGTCTCTTGTCAGGATTTGGGCCCCTGGCCCCAGTCTGCTGCTCCACTCTGCGCTGTGGGCTCTCTAGCCCTATCTCCGCCCATCCTGGGCTATGCTGAAGTTTGCATCCTGCTCTGGTAAAGCTAGAGCCTCATGTGCTACCCTGGCACTCTGGAACCTCCACATTTCCCCTTTTAAGTCCCACACAGTCCAGCAGTTTAAACTATAAACAAAATTATAAGCTTTCCAGCTGTACCACAAACTACCCCACTTCGGTCATATTCCCCTGCCCTACTTGCAGGGCCCTCATATGTTCAGGAAACCTCCAGGCAGTCCTCTGTAGCCTCTAAGCTTAGGAGCGCTTTCCCTTATGGCTTTCAGGGCCAGACTGACTGCTCTGGCTCAGCCCTAGGCCTGTATCTCCCAGGACCTAACCTTTTCTGGTCAGGTAACCTCCCTAGCTTCCCACAGGCACTTTCTGATTAAGCTTGTTGGCTTTATCCCATGGTAGCTTACTGTTGCTGCTGCCTAGGTGATGCAGAAGTGTCTTGTCTCCCTTCCCAAATTCAAACTTACTGGACTATTGTGAGGTAACCTGCTCTGCAATATGGCCTTCTAGCCTATGTTTTTCCCCCGGCTGACAATTTTCCTTATAATTAGCTTCTGTTATTTGAGGAGGAAGAATCACCAGGAAGAGTTTTCTCACTCTCAGTTACAGGGCCTAATTGGGCCAACAGACCAGCCCCCACAGCCTGGAATCAACATGTGCCCCAGACCAGCCATGAGAACAGTATGTGCCAGCCCCTACATGCACCACACAAGGCCAGGGCACGCAAAGCATATGCGGCCTGTCTATGGGCCCAATCCAAACCAGCCCTGGACCCAGCATACAGGGGTGGTCTAGCACAGTGCCAGTCTGTGAGCCCACTCCAGTATGTGACCTGGATGCACTATGCAGTGCACAGGGTCAGGGCTTGTGCCAGTGCATGCTATGCACACTAACTACATACAGCATGCAGGGCCTGACCAAGAACCACAATCAGCACTGCGGGCCAGAAGATAGGTTTCTGTGAGCAATATCTGGCCCAAAGACCTTATTTTTGAGTAAAGGTGTCTCTCTGGAGTAAAGGTGTCTCTCAATAACAGAAAAGAACTCATGTGCCTTTAACTATGGAAAGAACATTCAATGTACCACAGCTTATCCTCAAGAGCCCTGTTAACTATTTGAAGAAAGAGAAGAACTGTAACATAGAAGACTTCAGTCTTTTATTTTTTTAATATATATAGATGGGTAAGATAATACCAGAGTAATCATGTATTGCATATGTGCTGCTACGGTACCCAATACCTGTTACAAATCTATCCAAACAGAGACAAAGAAGAAAATTACTTTGTTTCCCATTCTTTTCCAACAAGATTAATGACCACATTGCTGTTTTCCACGGCTCTTTGGATAGTGTCTTTGTCCCTGCAGTCCCATTCCTGTAACCAGAGCATGAAAATGGGAGAGAGATGAGACAGCATACAAATAAGCATGATTTAAAAAAGCTCTCTTGTCCATCTTCCATGCAGAATTTAAACAACCACCAGAGATCTTGCGGCATGAATTCTTAACAGACTGCCGAGAATAAACCAAATGTAATACCACTACTAAACCCAAAGCCAAAAGACTTACCAAGAACACAATTTGTCCCAGATCACCCATTGGGCGAAGATACATGAGGTAATACTGATCACAGCGATAGGGTAGGATTATGTTGGATCCAATACGGCCTAAATGTTCCAAAAAAAAGTTTGATTTTTTTCATACAATTACATAACTTCAAAGAGGTACTGTTATGAATGTATTGCGTCTCTTGTTTCAACTATAGTCGGAACAATAGATAAACAAAATATCTCAGGAGCTAGTAGTAGCATAAAAATAAGTTTATCAATGGCCAGTTATAAAAATTATAGCTGGTATGAATGCATTATACGCCATCTCTTTTTTTAGGTTTACAGAAGTCACTAACTGCAAGAGAAAAAAAAACCTGCAATCATTTACCATGCATGGCTTATTTGCTATAATCATACAATTAACTAGCAGAAAAAGTGCTGTATCTAAGGAAATTTGATTTGCACAACGGTTAATTCATATTTCCTAAAAAGTAAGAGGAGCATTGCTTGAAAATGTAAATCAGAACGGACAATTTTAAAATGATTCCTGTTTAAATGAAAATTAAAGCATACTACTTCAAAAAAATACCCGCATATAATATACACACACACGCACACACACACACACACTATGGGTAAAAACAGGTATCACCTGACATCTCATTTGTGCCATAAAGTTTTATGGAGGCACAAATGGTGAGCTAATAAATAGATGGTGCTACCCTTTGTCGCATCAGGTCAAAGGAAAATCAGTGATGCAACACAGAGTAGTAATAGATTCCACTGCTTTATTGTGACAGACATCTATTAGCTCTATGGTGAGAGAGTAGAGCAGCCTGAGCAACTTATATTCTCCAGCCATCCTGGGTAGGGAATATGGGGTGTTTCTCTGTAAGCAGGGAAGTTGGGGTTCCCTGCTCAACCAGACTCAGACCCCACCTGATTTCAAGAGCAAGTCTGGCTTAGTAGGGAACATCCCTCCCCCAGTCAGCTAGACCATTCTGCCACGATTGCAGGGGGACAGGTCTAGCTGAGTGGGGAAGGCAAGGAGATCACACTGCCCCTTGTTCTGCACTGTTAAGGCCATATCAAGGGGTGATTTATGCTTAGCCAAATGAAGCAGATCAGCTGTGCTGCAACACATCATGGCAATGCTGATCCACCTCATTAGGCAACATCTGTTTCTAGCCTTTATGAATAACACTGAAAGCATAAGAACTACGGGTGCACCGAGAGAGATTTTGAGGGCCGATACCAATAGGTGATATTTAAAGAGGCATATCAGCTGATACTGATCCAATTTCTGATACCAGCTGGAGACAGCTGTAAGTCCGGTATGGAGGAAGGGGAGGCGGGAGGGAAGGGGGGCAGATCAAGGCCCCTTACGGTGAGGGATGGGGCAGGGGCAGCTTGCACCCAGGGAGGGCATGGGGGGTGCAACATGTGCGCCCTGGATCTGTGCGGGGCGGGCAGCAGCTGCAGGGTGGAGCTGGAACCAGTGCTGTGGTGGGTCTCTTCTCGCCAGGGGCTGGGCTCGGAGTGGGCTCTGGTGGTGCTGGGAAGAGGCTGCAGCCACCCTAAATTTTGCTGCAGCTCCACTCCCAGCCCCGCACCATAGCCGCAGCTTTTCCCAATGCTTGGGTGGAAGTAGGGCATTCAGCCAGGACTGCGCCAGACAGCAGTGCAGGGCTGGGAGTGGAGCTGCATTGAAATGTGAGGTGGCTGCAGCCTCCTCCTAGCGCCGCCAGAGCTGCTTTAAGCCCAGCCCCCAGCGTGAAAAGCCCCATGTGGCGCCGGCTCCACCCTACAGCTGCTGCCTGCCCTGCACCGCGTAGATCTGGGGGTGCATGCCCCTCCACCCTGCGGGGTTCAAGGAGCCACCCCCACCCCGCGAGCCATGCCTCTGCCTCATGCCCACCCTGCCTGGGCAGCACCTGTCCCTGCCCCCTCCCTCACTGTGGGGGACGTTGATCTGCCCCTCCCCAACCTTCCAATTTACCAGCTGAAAGCAGCTCTCCACACTTCTGGCTCTGCTCCGCACTGCAGCTGCGCGCAGCACAGACATTTATTGGCCAAATTATTGGATGCATCGGGCTGATATCCGATATATACAATTTTCTTTATATCAGTACTAATCTAATATCAGACTGATATATCAGTGTACCTCTAATAAGAACTGATCATAAGCTCCATCTAATCTTTGAACTCACAATTCTCCTCCAGACAGTATTCCCATTAACTTTAAAATGTCTTGGAATTCTTCTGTACCTCCTTGCTCATAACCAAAGATCTTGTGAAAACAAGCAAGATCTCACTAGCTGTCATATAGTCATAGAGAAGTAGGGCTGGAAGAGACCTCAAGAAGTCATCTAGTCCCACCCCCCACCTGAGGCAGGATCATCCCTACCCTAATTATTCCATATATTAAACACCAGAAACAATCCTGCACTGGTCCATTCCTAAGTTCCAATGCTCAGATGTCTATCTTAACTGTGCAGGCTTAAACATGTCCCTAATTTGGATGTGTGTCTGCACTTGCGATAGTTATTTATGAGAACATTACCTAGTCGGTTGACAACGTATCGCCCCAGAAACCCTGTGGCCCCAAAGACTGTGGCCACAATTCCACTAACAGAGGAACGGCCGCTTCTTCCATGAGGGAGCACAGCATAATGCACATGGCGGTGCTGCTGAAGGACAGGTGATGCAGATGAAGATAATGCAGAAACCCTAGAACCTAAAACATACAAAGACAGACAGCATATAAACTCACTTCAAGAGGTATTACTTGAGAGATGCAGTTGAAGCTAAGCTGGCTTTTAAGTGGTAGCTTTTTTTTGAGGGTAATAAAATGTAACTTTTACAAAGAAACCAACCCCCACTCAAGTTTCCCATGCTTTACCTCATGTCAAGATAAAATATTTCAGGGAAGTTAGGAATAGTCAGAAAAGAAGTGGGTTTGGAAGCAGAGAGAAAGTTCAGGGGAATAAAAACAGTGTAAGCTCATGCTAAGATAGGCAAAAAAGGGGTTAACAGAGGGATATTTAAGGTATTGCTATAAACAGAAAAGGCAATTTTGGTAGAGACCCAGAAGAGAAGAATGTTCTTCCCTCCTAATCCAGAGGGAACCAGCAGATTCACTACTTTGTTACCCTGCTTAAGAAAGATTTTCCAAATTAACTCTTTTGATCCCCTGTGCTTGTTTTTTTCCTTCCTGGAATAGAATAGTAAAAAATTAATCAACTGTACGCAAGTCACAGTGACAGGCTATATATTTGTTGAGGCTAGCACAAACAAACCATCAAAAACTGTCAACATGCAGATTCAAGATACACAAGCAAGATCCTTACAAATATACACAAAGCTACTTCATTATCTTTCAAATCCTTCCTTAGAACTCTTTTCCTATTCTTCCCACAAAAGGACTGACAATAGCTTAGCCACTCTGACAGTGATACCACTGTTTATCACATTGACCAAAACAGTCTCATATATGAGAATAAGTTGGGGGAGTACAAGGAAGCACCTGCTGTTTCTTGTCTTCATATTTGCCTGTACGATCTGAGACATGGACTACTTTTTGTTCTGCAGTTGTACATTATCTACAACAGCAAATAGGAGTCTCAAGTACTAGCACTATACAAACGCTAAAAGAAAACAACACCCAGAATCAACATCCAATTAGGAAGCACTGAGTCAATTTGAAGCTCTCTTGCTATTATTAGTCCGTAACAATCTGACCATGGGGTAAAATTTCTTCCTGAAACAAAATATGAGGATTGGTCTAAACCTGAGCAGAGGGGCAAGACCCTCTAGTCAGGAACCTCCAGCTTTAGTCCCAGCAGAAGCATTGGCACAGCCCAGTCAAAGTCCCCAGTCTACACTAGAAAATTTGTACTTCAACTGTACTGATAGCTGAAGTACAGACAACTGCTTGCTGTATACAACAGCATATATATGTCCAAGAAGGCAGGGTGAATAAAAATCAATTATTTTTTAAAGTAAAAAAAAAAAACAAACAGATTTTTTATTGCAATCAGATTTGTTTTACTTAATCATATTATTTTTAAGATGCTGTTTATAAAAAATAAACCTATGTATAGTTTTAAGATACGTTAAAGTTCAAAGATATCATGATAGAATACAGATTATAACTTCTAATTATATATTTGAGACAATATATTCATGTAACCTTTATAGAAAAGTTTTATTAATAGGTCACAACAGGGCATGGGTTATATTAGGGTCCCAATCTTATAGGGTTCCCAGAGGCTCCTCTATAGATTAGTAAAGACTAAAGAAACCAACTCTAACCAATGGGACTCAGTGCTCAGTCTAGAAGACCCCATTAAGCATCTCTGTGATGCTTAGTTTCAGTTCTCAAACTGTGGATTTGTCTCTCCAGAGATAACATCCTTGTTAACAGCAGTATGTAGAGAGAGTTTCATAGAAGCTAGGGTCAGGAGGGACCTGAACAGATCATCTAGCCTGACCCCCTGCCAGTCAGGAATGAATGCTGTGTTCACAAGACCCTAGACAGGTGATCGTCCAACCTCCTCTTGAATTTGCCCAAGGTAGGGGTGAGGACCACCTCCCTGGGAAGTTGGTTCCAGATTTTGGCCACCTTAACTGTAAAATATTGCTTTCTGATCTCCAACCTAAACCTATTCTCCATCAGCTTATGACCACTGTTCCTCGTCACCCCAGGTGGTGCTGGGGAGAAAAGAGCTCTGCCTATTTGCTGTTGATCCCCCCAATGAGCTTGTAGGCAGCCACCAGGTCCCCCGTCACCCTCTTCTTGCTGAGGCTGAACAGGTTCAGGTCCCTCAGTCTCTCCTCGTAGGGCCTGTCCTGCTGCCCTCTCACCAAGCGGGTGGCCCTCCTCTGAACCCTCTCCAGGCTGGCCACATCCCTTTTGAAGTGCGGTGCCCAGTACTGGATGCAGTACTCCAACTGCGGCCTGAGAGTGGGGAGTATCACCTCTCTGGACCAGTTTGAGATGCACCCTGCCTCCAACTGCCCTAAGCCCAAGCCCCAAGCTAGGACAAGCCAGGAAGTACCGGGAAAGCAGAGGCAGATGAGAGACAACAGACCCAATTACCTTCTCATCAGCCCTCTTGTCTCTCTGCAAGTTTGTGTACAAAGAGCCAAGCCCTTCCCTCTTTCTAAAAGTGCAAAGTTTCAAAAAGTAAAAAGAATAGAGGATGTCAAGTAACAAGAATGCACTTTTTGCAGAAAACAATTATTAAATTGAGGCTTCCTGACCAGCGATTTAAATCACAATTTAAATTGATTTGAGTTAAATCAAATCCACCTGACAAGCAGGGAAGAGACTATTTATAAAATAACTTTAATACCTAGGGTAAAAAACAGGCAGGACAGCTGAGGTGGACTGACTGATCTCATTGATTAGGGTTACCATGTTTAGGTTTTCCTGGACATGTCCTCTTTTTGGGTTTTCCCCATCTCCATCCAGGTGTTGTTTTTTTTAAAAAATATCAGCAAGTGCCTGGGATTTTGCTCTGCCTCTGCTTTCCTGGTACTTCCTGGCTTGTCCTAGCTTGGGGCTTGGGCTTAGGGCAATTGGAGGCAGGGTGATCAGGAGGGATCCTGGTTTCCTTTGATAAAAAAAAAATAAAAATCACAAATTCTCTGACAAAAAAAAATTTTTTTAATTGCAAGTTCTCTGATAAAAACCCCAAAATCCATTATTAAAATGAAAAGCGCCCTGCAGCACCCCCAACCCTGCTGGTGCCCCTCACATCCCCCAATGCTTCTCCCAGCCCTGCTGGTGCCCCTCAATGCCC